GATTTTAAACTGTTAATATCAAACTATTTGGAGGAAGTACACTGAATTCTTTTCAATACTCCTGACAAGCTGCAATGGCAAGACATCTTTAAGTAAGAAATGTTTTCACTCACTACATGTCATATATGGATCTTAGCAGTTAGAGCTCTTTTCCAATGGGTCATCAATCCTAAAATGTAAAAGAATCAAGAGAATAGCTTGATTTCCATTGGATTAGATGTACTTTGACTGCACAGCGCTCGGTATTTAAACTCCTGTACACCAAAATCGAAGAGCAATAAAAAAAAAAGCTGATGGACTTTTTTCTGAATCTTGACAATTGATCATCATCTTTGTGAACTGCAATAATTGATTCAGATTAAAACTGGATTAAAATAACCCTCAAATTCTCTTCTTCAACCACATTCCAATGAATAATAGGTGATGTCTTTGGTGGCATAATAAAAATCTGGGCCATGCATGGAAAAAATGAGACTTGAAGTCCATGCATTATAGCACATACACAGTTGTGTGCCTTGCATAATTACTACAGTTGCCACAAAATAATTATTTAGGTCTATAACCTATGGGGTGGTGGTTGCTGTGCAAACAGAATTTGAATATGGACCTCAGGTCTTGTTTTTCACAGGTTGTCCCTCATTTATCAAACATCATTTTTTTAAGATGTTGGCCCTTTATTTATTTTTCTTTAATTGAAAAAAATCCTTGTTACATGGATCTTGTATCTTGCATCTTAAAGCTGTCTAAAACCTTTCATACGCTCTTTCACTGTAAGCTTCATATTTATCCAACCGCTATTCTTCTCCTTCAGCCTTACATGAAAATATCTATCTTAAGCAGTTTTTTATTCTATTTCTTCTTTGTGAAGACTAAAGCAAATTAACTGTAGAACTAATCTGCCATTCTTCATTCCCATTTTCCAATTTTCCAGTATCATTTTTACTTGACCAATTTTCTCCACTATTTTTTCTGCCTAATATGACTGAACTGCTGTATATTGAGAATCCTTTGATTTGTTGAAATATTTTCTGAAGTTAGCATTCAGCATTTCTTTTCTTCTCTCTATTATCCATTTAACTAGCTTCTAGATAGTTTTTTAGATATACTGTAATACAACCAATTTGGAAGACAAATATTTATTTCAAAGCCTTTGATAAACAATATTGTTGTTAGTATTCCTTATGTGAATATCTGTTGCCATTTCTAGTCTTTCCAGCTCTTTTTATTAAATTTATGTTCCTCTTCTGTAGTACATTCCCAGTATAATAAAGAATTCAAATAAAATCCTCTGGCCATTTTTTAGTCTTTCAAAGTCAGCCTTTCTAAACTCCAAAATGTTTGTGTTAGAGTTGACCCTCTGACATTTTGTGATTGTTTCACATTTGATGTTTTATGCTCACTGGTTTTTAAGTGATGTCTAGTGCCAGCCTTATTTGTAACACAGTACTTGGCTCATTTTCTGAAATTAGGTCCCAAATAGTTGTTGAAAGTGTGGGTCATTCAATAAAACAGCAATAGGAAACAAGCATGTACTATGTCTAGGAATATGTCAGCACGTTTATTTTTGCATATTATTATTATCCAATCAGCACCTAATTACTATGATCAAAGCTAATGTTAATAGGCCCTCACCTTCCTTCAACTTGGGCACTATTTAAAAAAAATGACATGAAACCTGGACTCAGTGGCCCCTCTTCAAACCACCTGCATCTATACAAAATAGACAAAAACAAAGGGTATTAAGTTGTCATAAAGTACCTGAGGGGATCACCCAAAATCTGATGGACAATCTCAGTACTCCAGTGATCCAAACCAGGTTTCACCTGATGGTGAAAAGTGAAGAACAACCCAGGTGATTTCACTTCACATACGAAATAAGGAGGGGGGGAGGGGAAATCTGCAATATGTAAGGTCTTAATCAACAATCAAATTTTGAAATGTATCTCTTGGCTTGCTTACTGTTTGTGGAGAATGGATATGAACAGTTTTCCATTCTGCTAAATAGAGGCAGAAATGATGTAGCTAATGGTATGAGTAGCATCCAAGGGACCAGGAAACCAAAAAGGAGTGAATTACAGTAATCTTGTCTGCAAGTGATGATGGGAATTGTATGACTACAGTTGGGTACATGGAGAGGGGGGGACTTTCCAAATAATTCAGAGATAGAAATAGATACCCTGAGCTCTTGTTGAGAGCAGCCTTGCATGATACCTGCATTCTGCACCTGTCCCATTAGTAGTGGATTCACCCCCTATTAATGGGACAACAAATTATACCTGTGAGTTCCATTACATGTTTCCCTGAGCCATAAACAGGAACATTGTCTCTCTGGATTGAGTTTAAACCAGCTGTCCATCACTTCCACATAGATCTGTGCCATCAAATACCATCCATGATAGTTTGACAGTAAATAACACTGATAGCATTTACACTGTGTGAATGGTAGGTATTATTATGTGAGTCGTATACGATATACACCTGGAGAAGTAGGATGGAACCCTGCAGTGTCATGCGTTAGAGTCTCTTAGTAATTGCACATAGGTGCCCCTCACCACTTGTTGAGAGCTCCCACTCAGGAACATTTTCATCCACTGAGGAGTGAATCCATCTCCCGCCCGTCAGGGCCACAGCCTGACAGATCTGACATAATCAGCAAGTGAGAAGATTGTCCTTTACAGTGACTAATGTTATCTCCATACCACAAGTCTGTCTGAAACTAGACTGTACAGTGTCAAGCAGTTTATAAACATTTATAGCCTCATTGATGTATAAGAACATAACCTGATTCACTTTGCTTTTTCTAACTGCTACAACTAACATTCATCTGTAAGCAGGGGTGCTGGAACAATTGATATGGGGGGGGGGGCTGCTGAAAGAAATTCTGTAAACCCTGTATATAATGGAAACAACTTCAAGACCTGGGGTGCTGCCACACCCCCATCACCCCTAGTTCTAGTACCTGTGTCTTTCCATCTGTCCAAACTGTGTACTTTCTCACCCAACAATTCATAGGCTTTCTTTTTCCCAGATCAATATCATAGATAAACCAATAATTGCTACCTTAATGGTTAAAGAGGTTAATGGAAAATATTTCTCAATTAGTAAAGCAGATTTTGTTGTGTTCTGGGAAATGCAGAAAATTTTTAGGAAGCAAGCCATGGAGGTGGGTGTAAACTCAGTAATAAAATGCCTGGGGCCAGATCCTCAGCTATTTTGTATGTCAGACAGTGTTTCTCCACTGACCCTGTGTATGCAAAGACCAGAGAAGAGAATAAAGTTTTTGACAACGTATTGTATGTGGCTCATGTTATTAAGTTGCATTGTGTTGAACAATATGTGAAGAACCAGTTATACAGAAGACCTGGAAAAAGAATGTATTGAGAATTGTAATCTCATAGGGAAAAATGAGTGTTTGTCTCTACTTGAAAGTTTAAATACATTTCACTGTTTTCATATTAATGTCTTCACATAATATAAAAATAATTACCAATTATAATGAAGTAGAAAGCTAGTTACCCTCGGATTGCTCTAATATAAGTACCTCTTTTGGTTTGAGAGCCCTTTAAATTTGGCAGTGTTGTCTACAACAGATGAAGTGGATTTATTTGAAATTCAAGTCTAGTGGACTTCATGAGCAATATATCTGCAAATTGTTACAGATTATCATCCCAGGCAATAACTGTGATAATTGCTAGGTTTTCTCTTTTTAAAAACAAAGTAGTTAAAAGTGGCATACTGTAGTTAATCATTAACATTTCCAGTAAACAGTTTTTTTCATGGAGGTATATAAAATGTGTGTATTTATAAATAGACATGGAGAGTGAGCTATTAAAATGTAATTTAATTACATTAGCATAACTCGAGTGGGAGTTTAGTAAATACCAAATACTTTAATTAGCTTGCATCTTTTTATTTGGAAGATTAATGATATGCCCCTACATGACTGTTTACAGTGTTTAGCAATATGACAGTTTAGTGCCAAACTAGTATACGTGACCCTTTTAGAAGTAGCTGTTTATTTAACTGTTAGTATTCAAGCTGGGTAGGTTGTTGACAGTGAGGTATTCTGGGATCTCTGGATATTAAAGCATGAACCTTTAAAACGTGAACTAAAATACACAAGTCTGTTAGCCCAGGGTGTAGCTGGCTTGCCCAGTCAGTATCGCACTCTGTCCCTGGCAGCTGGTGGCTGGGATATTTATATGAGCCTACTACAGCCTTTAGTTCAGGTAGTAAAGGCTCATGATTTTAGATCTTGAAGTCTAAGGTTCAATTCCCACTGCAAACAACTTTCCTGGGGGCATCATGTAATACTTTTGGTAACACAGAGCATCAGCTTTTTGTCTCCTGTGTTTGTCTGTTCTTTGCATCAATGGATAATAATGTTAGTCTTTTACATTCAGTAGCAGTTTTCCACTGTACTTTTTTTTTTTTTTTTATTGCTACTTCAGTTTCGGGAAAATTTGTAAATCACACATTGGATTAAAGGTAGGAAAATTAATTGAATCATCCATGTTGGAATAATCAGATCTGAACACATCTGAGTCCAGTCTGAGTCACACATGTTTATTGGCTTGTTACTTACTTTTAAAGCCTTGATAAATAGGTTAAAAACGTGATCTGAAATCAAATTATAATTTGTTTTATTATGCCAAGCCAAGTAAATACTGTTTGAATTCCCTCCCTAGCTGACCAATCAAGTTAATTACTTTAAATATATTTGAGCAAAGGAGCTATATGAAAATTGGTAAGAAATTAATTGTCATATTTAAATAATTTGTAAAAATGGTATTGAGTCTATAAGTAGTGAACGTGATATTCTTCTCTAACTTCTCTAACGTGATATTCTTCTCTAGAACTGTACTGTAAATAAACATGCAATTCTCTTGAGAAGGAAATGTGAATATTGCTGACAAGCTGTGGTCTCTACAGAAGACATATGTTGACAGTTTGACTGAGTGGCCAATTGATTGATTTCTTCTTCTTTTTTTTAATTCTAGATGCTGAAGAATACCAGCCTCCAATATGGAAATCCTACTGTGAGTATATCAGAAATCAGAATAAATATCAAAATCATCTTAAAAGAAGTTTCAATGGAAAGTTTTTTCCCCCCATCTCTAAAACAATTACCTAAGTGCGTTCAGCTCTTGTGAAAGTAGCTGCATTGGCAAACTGAAGTTTTCTGTTTATTCAGATAACAGATACAATATGGGTTGCAGCAATGCAAACTCCTGCACTCTCCCTCACTGATGTGAAGTTCTATAGGGGCCATTTTTGTGGGTGACAGAGTAGTTCGATCTCCCTATCCATTCGGATTTGGTTTCCTTGCTGAGGCTGCCAAAAAGGATTCCTGTTATGGCAATGAGTTCTTTACTGTACACTCTTGCTGAGCCTGAATTAGATTGAGTGAACCAAATTTTTTTATACAGGCCACAAAGCTACCTTCAGGTGATAGTCGTTTTTGATCCCTAGCAATTTAATCTGGTTTTAAAGTGGTGGTTTAGAAGTAAAAGGCCCAATATACTATTTTCAATCTTCTGGACTATCCAGTTCTCCTACTAAAATATCATTTATATAAAATGTAATGCAGAAATATGTTGTATGCTGCTTTTATTCCAGTTACCACTGTACTATGATGTAGCACTGAGCTGATACAAAGCAGTTGGCTTTTACAATCTTGATTAAAATTTGATTTAAAATAGAAGATTAATTTTAAAAACTTCACTGAAAATTTCAATGAAACGGTGGTGGTGGTGGTGGTGGTATTTTGTTGTTGATTACCACATCGTTATTTAAGCATGCTCATAACTTTAGGCACACGAGTAGCCCCATTGACTTGAGTTGCATACAATCTTAAGTACCTTGCTGACTTCAAAGATGTCTCCTTAGAATCTAAACACTATACATGAATGAGCTTAGAAAAGTAAGAGTTGTAGCCCTGTTGGTCCCAGGATATTAGAGAGACAAAGAGGGTGAAGGTATTGTCTTTTATTGGGCCAACTTCTGTTTGTGAGAGAGACAAGCTTTTGAGCCTACACGAAGAGCTCTGTGTGGCTCAAAAGCTTCTCTCTCTCATCAACATAAGTTAGCCCAATAAAAGATATTACCTCACCTACCTTGTCTCTCGTGGAAAAGTAATACAGCCCCAAAATGCATTGTTTTTCCACAGATTTGGTAGAATTATAAGATTATTGCTGGGAATACTTCTCCCTAGACTTCTGTTTTGCCGCTGCCTTGTTTTTTCTGAGAAAAACTAATTCATTCTAACTTAATAGAAACTGACAATGTGATAAATTAAGCCTCAGCGAGATTATATTGACTTCAATGGAACTAACTTATGCACACTTTAAGTTGTGCACACACTTAGTAGCTTGCTGAATCGAAACCTGCATTTGCTACTTCCCCTCCTAATCAAGCTGTACTGAATTTTATTGTTTTCAGAGACAAAATGCTTCTTTTAAAAAAAAAATTGCAAAATTTAACAATTTTGGGAGAGGTAGCCTGACTATACTTTGTAAAGGAGTGCTTTAAATCAATGTTTTTTAGAGAGAAATCCTGGCCCCGTAGAAGTCAATGGAAAACGTCCATTGACTTCAGTGGTCTCAGGCATTTTGGTGTGTGTGATACAGCCTTTTTATGGAAGAGTTCAGGACAGAGCATGAGCTTTTCACATCATCCCAGAGCTGTATCACTTGTCTTGTGTTGACCAGATTAGCACAGTGCAGTGAAGTATTTTTTCTTAGTTTTGTTTTCATGAAACAGCCCATGGAAACTTTTAAGCAAACATATCTAATTTACAGAGCATGATAAATAAGTTATTGTTAAGATATATTCAAGATCCGATTTTGTGGTTGACAACAAAGTCATCTCAGCATCTAAACTTCATGTCTGAATGACTCTGGAAAAATTAACTCAGCCTCAATTTGCATTGTCTTTGTAATTTTATACTACTATCAAATGTATTTAAAGATTCCTGTTGAGAATATTTCTCTGTAGACATATGTTTTTCATTGCAGTCTTGGTTTCTTTGAGGAAAAACTACTACTTTATTCTTTCCAAGAAACTGACAATATGATAAGTTAAACATCAGGAAGATTACGCCCAGTGGCGTATTAACCTATGAAATGATCTATCATTGTGTAACATCATAGTTTTTGTTTAAATTAGCGTATGTATTTCTCTTGAAGTGTCTGTATTCATTGATATTGATCATTATTCATGTATTTTAGTTAATTTTTCCCTTTTTTCAGTTTGTCAGAATACTACTAGAATATACTGTATATAATTTTTAGTTTAAAATGTCTTTAATTACTGAGACAAGATAGGTGAGGTAATATTGGACCAAATTCTGTTGGCAGAAGTAATGTTCAGAGCTTTGTGAAGCTCAAAACCTTGTACCTTCCACCAAGAGAAGTTGGTCCAGTAAAAGATATTACCTCGCCCACCTTGTCTTTCTCATATCCTAGGACCAACATAGCTGCAACACTACTGCATGTAACATTTAATTTCTGTATAAGTTTAGAGACCCTATGTTGTCTTTTGATATTTATTGACATACTAATCAAGCTCCCAATCCTGCAATCTGTACCACACTGGCCCTATATCCAGGCAGAGCCTCATTCAAGTTTACAGTGCTCACGTGCATGCAGAGGTCCACCCATATGGAACAGCTTGCAGAATCCAGGCCTTACTTAATGACATAGCCTAAAAGATTGTTTTAACAATATTTGGGATCACAGCTGTGTAGGTCTGCTGCAGAGAGGATGCCTATTTCTAATGTCTGAAAGGTCTTCGGTCAGTGATTGCACTGTTAGAAGATGCACCACACTCTGTTTCTTCATATATTAGGGGATGGAGAGGACAAGTGACCATTACTTTGATATTACTAGTGGGAACCCTGGTACAAGTTAGAAAGTAGCTAGCAGCCAGTGAACACTGAGCTACATCATGGATTAGATTTCTATCTCAGTAATCAGCCAATAAGTAAACATGTTTCCAGCCACTAAATTGTTTCTGTGTTCTGTGGCACATTAGGAAGATTGTATTAAAAGATGTCTTTTCCCCTTCTGCCATTACTAAAGAAAGGAAAATAAGAACTGTAGTGTAAGCTAAACTAGTCTCCATGCTCTTTCATATGTGAAGCAGACAGTTATTTTTATATTTGAAGTAGAATAGGAACAGTGTTTGTTCTGGCTCTCTAGCAGCACTGTATATGTGTGCTTGTGTCCTGGAGAGGAAGAGGACCCCAGTTTGTTCTATTCTTACCCTAAGAACATATCAATCTTGAACAAGTTATGACTACACTGCAATTAGACACCCGTGGCTGGCCCACGCCAGTTGACTTGGGCTTGTGAGGCTTGGGCTAAGGGGCTGTTTAACTATGGTGTAGACTCTCAAGCTCTGGGACCCTCCCACTTTGCAGTGTCCTAGAGCCCAGTCTCCAGACCGAGTGCAAACATCTGCACTACAGTTAAACGGCCCCTTAGCCTGAGCCCCGTGAGCATGAGTCAGCTGGCACGGGCCAGCTGCAGGTTTTTAATTGCAGCGTAGACACACACTTTCATTCAGGCTTGCTCTGTGACTAATTTCAGCGTTTGGAAAGATTGTCCTTGTCACGTTGGTGTTCACCACACAAGATGCAGAGGGCATATCCTAGCACCAGCAGACCCCAGTGGTCTACTCCCTCTGAAATGCTTACTTCCGACCCCTGAACAGCTGGAAAAGGTAGAGTAATGAGGCAGAACATCTGAGTCAAGGCTCAGTCAAAAACTAAGGCTCCCTTTCTGCCATGTTCTTAGACATGTGTCTGAGGCCATATCGATACTATCACTTATGCTGGCAAAACTTATGTCGCTCAGGGGTGTGAAAAAACACCCCTGAGCAACTTTAGTTTCGCCAGCATAAGTGGTGGTGTGCACAGCGCTATGTCGGTGGGAGAGCTTCTCCCACCACATAGCTATCGCCACTCATTGAGGTGTTTTTATTATGTTGATTGGAGAGCTCTCTCCCATCAGCATAGAGTGGCCACATGAGCGATCTTACAGCTGCATCAGTACAGCTGTGCCACTGTAAGCTTGCTAGTGTAGACAAGTCCTAAGTCTAAGTAAGTGAGTAGTCCCACTAAAGTCAATCAAACTACTGATATGCTTAGGTAGGCATGTGCTCAAGTACTGCTTAAATTGAGGCCTAATGGCATAAATCAAGGATCTTTTAAAAACTTCTCCAGAAAGGAGGCAGTGGTTTCTATAGGTCCTTAAGTAAAAACAAAGATGCACATATTCCCTACCCATCAGAATGTAACTGATCATTAATCTTGTACAGTTTAAGAGGGGAGTCTTGAGTTCTTGACACATTACAGAATTTAAAAGGCAGCTGGAAGTCGGTCACTTTTTCCCTAACAGAAGGGGGGTGAATATAAGGTTTTCAAATGCCACCTGGGATGGGATCTACAGATATCACACAAAACACAGGCAGGCAGTGGTTGAGAATCCACCTTTCCTGCAGACAGGAAAACCAGCCATGCCACTGCTCAGTTGTGAGAAATTTCAGTTATGGGAGAAACCTCTCAGCTACTGTGGGCAAGCCCAAGTATAAAGAGGGAGAAACAAGAAGAGAGAGGACTGAAGAGTTTGGGACTTCAAGGGAGCAACAACTCTCTACCACAGGAGCTAATATAATACTGACAGACACCGGTCGTCGACGATCCTGGGACCTTTGGAGCTAAATGCATGAGCCTCTACTGTATGAGCCAAAAGCCACATGGCTCTTAGCTAAAGTTGTAGAGCAGACTCATTAATCTCTCTCTAAGTGGTCTCGGTGCCACTAGATGGGACAGAGCACCACACTCAGGAGGTGTGTGAGTTACACTAGCACCAGGCTGGTTCTGAGCTTCGTAAAGCCTCCTGGAGTACAAGGAAAGAAAGTACATAGGGATGAAAGCCCTGAGGGCCAAGGGCTTTCTTTGGAGTTCATTTATGTTATATTTATATACTCTGCCTTTTTGTTGATTTTAATTTAAGCCACCGCTGCCTGGGTCAAG